AACAAGACAAAAAGACAATCCTCAGAATGGGAGAAACTATTTGCAAATGAAGCAGCTGACAAGGGATTAATTTCCAAAATATACAAACTCTCATGCAGCTCAATATCAAAAACAACAACCCAATGAAACAATAGGCAGAAGACTTAAAGACATTTCTCTAGAGAAGGCATACAGATGATCTCAACCACCACACTTGAGAAGATGCTCAACATCCCTAATTATTAGAGAAATGCAAATCAAAACTATAATGAGGTATCACTTCACACTAGTCAGAATGGCCATCATCAGAAAACTCTACAAACAGTAAATGCTAGAGAGGTGTGGAGAAAAGGAAACACTCTTATACTGTTGGGAATGCAAACTGGTATAGCCACTACAAAGAACAGTATGGAGATTCCCTAAGAAACTAAACACAGAATCACCATATGATTTACACTATTTAAGAGCCAAGAAATGGAAGCAACCTAAATGTCCACCAACAGAGAAATGGATAAAGAAAGTCTGGTACACATGTGAAACAATGGATTACTACTCAGCCATAAAAAGAATGAAATAATGTCATCTTCAACAACATGAATGGACCTAGAAATGATCATACTAAGTGAAGTAACTCAGAGAAAAATAAACATCATATGGTAACACATATGTGTGGAATCTCTAAAAAAAAAAAAAGTGATACAAAAGAACTTATTCGCACAACAGAAACAGACTCAGATTTCCAAAGCAGATTTGTGGTCACCAGGTGAGGACATGTGGGGGAAAGGGATAAATTAGGAGTTTGGGATTAACATATACACACTACTAAATATAAATTAGATAATCAACAAAGACCTCCTATATTGCACAGGAAACTCTACTCAATATTCTGCAATAACCTATATAGGAAAAGAATCTGAAAATGAATAGATATATATATAACTGAATCACTTAGCTGTACAGTGATGGAACTAACATTGTCTATCAACTATACTCCTATGTAAAATAAAAATTAAATTAAAAAAAAAAAGCTTTACTGTTCACTTTAACATCTGTTACACAAATGCCTTATTCATGATTGTGCTTTTTCAAAACCTCTTGGGTTTCTGGCACATTTATTCTTCCAGATGAACTTTATAATCAACTTATACACTGTTGAGACTCTCACTGGAATTATATCAAATTTATGCATTAGTGTGGAAATGACTGGCATGCTGATGATGATTGCAATTTTGTATTTTTAGAACATAATAAGCTTCCCCATTTATTCAGGCCTTAGTTTTATATCCTTCAGTAAAACACCACCGTTATATTTTAGTGAGTTGAACATAATCTCTTAACTGTTTCCTTACATGTGGGCCTCTTTCTCATCTCTACATAAATTTTAAAATTTTCAAATAATTTTTGAATAAAAAGATAATTTCTTTATATCCCATAAAATGACAGGGCTATTAGGTATTTTTTAAGAGCTATTTCAGCTATGAAAATTCAATACCAAAAAATGATCTAAAAATCATCTAAAGAATGCACATATTGTGCACAGGTTTATTATGTATAAAAAACAAAGTATATACATGAAGGATATACTGCTTTCATCTTGGAGAGGAACTCTCATCCATCAGAAATCATTGCCAAGAGCAGTAGACTTAGAATATCTAGGTTAAGGGAAACGAATACTATAATAAATTATTGATTTCTGCCATAAGGGAGGGAATAGAAAATGGTGACATAAATGCCAAGTTTTTGCCATACAAGAAATTCACCAAACTATAACAAAGGTTGTTTCTAGAAGTGGAACTGTCAAGAGAGCCTTCATTTTCTATTTTTTATAACCCTAGATTAAGTTTTTTTTTTCCAACAATCAAGTATTTTGCTTTCAAAATTCAGGAAAAAAAAATAATTTCCCTGCTGGTCCAGTGGTTAAAAATATGGCTTCCAATGCAGGGGATGCAGGTTTGATCCTGGTCAGGGGACTAAGAACCCACATACTGCACAGCAACTAAGCCAGTGCACAACTAGGGAGCCGGAGCTACAAATAGAGAGACTGTGTATCGCAGTTACTGAGTCTGCATGCTCTAGAGCCTGCATGCCACAACTAGAAAGACGCCTGCATGCCTTAACAATGATCCTGTGGGTGCAACTGAGATGCAGACAAATAAATATTTCTGAAAGATAAAAAAAAAAAGCTTAAGTTTGTAAAAATACTGCAACTTCTTAATGAATAATTAATATTTAATAGTGGTATAGTATTATTTCATTATCTCCCATAAATTTCTAATTTCTTATGAATTTTTCCAGAAGAAAGTTCTTACAATTCAGGCTTTAAAAGATGCATTAAAGAAAAAAGAAACTTACTTTTCTGGATGAAGTATTCCTTAAATATTATTTCTAATATTAATGTCATAATATAGTCTTATACCACTGATGCTGAAGAAGGTGAAGTTGAACAATTCTATAAGACCTTTAAGACCTAGAACCAACCAAAAAAAGATGTCCTTTTCATCGTAGGGTACTGGAATGCAAGAGTAGGAAGTCAAGAGATACCTAGAGGAAGAGGCAAGTTTGGCCTTGGAGTACAAAATGGAACAGGGCAAAGGCTAACAGTTTTCTCAAGAGAACACACTGGACACAGCAAACACCCTCTTACAACACAAGAGATGACCCTACACACATACATCACCAAATGGTCAATACTGAAATAAGACTGATCATATTCTTTGCAGTCAAAGATGGTGTAACTCTATCCAGTCAGCAAAACCAAGACCCGGAGCTGTGGCTCAGATAATCAGCTCCTCATTGCAAAACTCAGGCTTAACTTGAAGAAAGTAGGGAAAACCACTAGGCCATCCAGGTATGACCTAAGTCAAACTCCTTATGATCATACAGTAGAGGCGATGAATAGATTCAAGAGGTGAGATCTGGTAGCCAGAGTGTCTGAAGAACCATGCACAGAGGCCATAACCTTGTACAGGAGGCAGTGACCAAAACCACCCCAAAGGAGAAGAAATACAAGGCGGCAAAATGGTTGTGTAAGGAAGCTTTACACATAGCTGAGAAAAGAAAAGCAAAAAGCAAGGGTGAAAGGGAAAGACATACCCAACTGAAAGCAGAGTTCCAGAAAATAGAAGAGATAAGAAGGCCTTCTTAAATGAACAGTGCAAAGTAGAGGAAAATGACAGAATGGGAAAGACATGGGGTTGCAAAGAGTCGGACACAACTGAGCAACTTCACTTCAGAGATCTTTTCAAAAAAACTAGAGATATCAGGGGAACATTTCATGCAAGAATGAGCATGATAAAGGACAGAAACAGTAAGGACCTAACAAAAGCAGAAGAGATTAAAAAGAGGTGGAAAAAATACACAGAAGAACTATACCAAAAAAGGTCTTAATGATCCAGATAACCAAGACGGTGTGGTCACTCACCTAAAGCTTGACATCCTAGAGTGAAGTCAAGTGGGCCTTAGGAAGCTCTACTACAAACAAGGCTAGTGATGTAATGGAATGCCAGCTGAGCCATTTAAAATCCCGAAAGATGCTGCTGTAGGAGTGCTGCACTCAGAATGTCAGCACATTTGGAAACTCAGCAGTGGTCAGAGGACTGGAAAAGGTCCGTTTTCATTCCAATCCCAGAGAAGGGCAGTGTTAATCTACAAACTATTGTATAATTATGCACATTGTGCATGCTAGTAAGGTTATACTGAAAATCCTTCAAGCTTGGCTTCAACAGTATGTGAACTAAGAATTTCCAGATGTACAAGTGGGTTTAGAGAAGGCAGAGGAAACAGAAATTAAACCACCAACATTCATTGGATCATAGAGAAACCAAAGCAATTCCAGAAAAACATCTACTTCTGCTTCATTGACTATGGTAAAGCCTTTGACTGCGTGGATCACAACAAACTGGAAAATCTTAAAGAGATGGGAATACCAAACCACCTTACCTGCCTCCTGAGAAACCTGTATGCTGGTCAAGAAGCAACCTTTAGAACCAGTTAGAACCTTTCATGGACTAGTTAAAACTTGTAAAATGAGTACCTCAAGGCTGTATGCAGTCATTCCATTTATTTAACCTCTATACAGAGTACACCATGAGAAATGCTGGGCTGGATGAATCACAAGCTGGAATCAAGACTGCCGGGAGAAACATCAACAACCTCAGACATGCGGATGATACTACTCTAATAGCAGAAAGTGATGAGAAATTAAAGAGTCTCTTGATGAGGATTAAAGAGTGAAAAAGTTGGCTTAAAACTCAACATTCAAAAAACTTAAGATCATGGCATCTTAAGTCACATCCCTTCATGGCAAATAGAGAGGGGAAAAGTGGAAGCAGACTTTATTATCTTGGGCTCCAAAATTACTGCAGACAGTGACTGCAGCCACAAAATTAAGACACTTGCTCCTTAGAAGGAAAACTATGACAAACCTAGACAGCGTATTAAGAAGAAAAGAGATCATTTTGCCAACAAAGGCCCATATGGTCAAAGCTACGCTTTTTCCAGTAGTCATGTATGAATGTGAGAGTTGGAAAATAAAGAAGGCTGAGCACTGAAGAACCGATGCCACAGAATTGTGGTGCTAGAGATGACTCTTGACATTCTCTTGGACAGCAAGGAGATCAAACTAGTCAATCTTAAAGGAAATCAACCCTGAATGTTCACTGGAAGAACTGATGCTGAAGCTCCCGTTCTTTGGCATCTGATGTGAAGAGCCAACTCGTTGAAAAATACCCTGATGCTAGGAAAGACTGAAGGCAAAAGAAGGTGGTGTCAGAGGATGAGATGGTTGGATAGCATCATCAACGAACTAGATGTGAATCTGAGCAAACTCCAGGAGATAGTGAAGGACAGGGAAGCCTGGAGTGTTGTAGTTCATGGGGCTGCAAACAGTCAGACAGGACTTAGCGACTGAACAACAAGAATAAACTCTGTATTATTACTCTTGACTAAAGTCATCAGGAATGCATGAACATAAACTAAGAAATTATGCAGAAAAAACTGGTTTCAGTACTTTTAACACTTACAATTCAATTTCAACCATGCCTTTGGAACATCCTCTCTTCACAAAAAAGCCAACCTAAGATATAAAAAAAGACAAAGTGAGCTGTGTGGTGACATTCCCAGGTGAGATGTAGCAAAGTCATTATTGTTTGTCAGATCAAGATTCTTTCTGTAACTATTCTGTACATTCATTCCCTTCACTTTCTAACTGTACCCTTTCCAGATTTAGGCTCCTCCACTGTTTCTACTCACAGATGAAAATATTCTAAGATATCAATATTTTAATATTCTAATATTTACTGATCTATGTGTCTAACAGCCTCTTACAAAGTTCATGACAAAGCTATTTACAGTAAGTAGTGCAGAGCAAAAATCTGAGTCCAAGTTATTGAGCTCCAGATCCTGAGTACTTCTATAGAGCTGCACTGATTAAATATTATTAATAGTCACTCTAAATAATAGTACCCATCCTGCTATTAATTAGTAAACACCTATCACCAAGCACTTTTTCAAAAGTCCAATAAATACAGTAAATACAATTTAAGTGAGCACAATTTATATCATAAAATAGATGTATTTAAGCTACTTCCTGTATGTATGTGAGTGTAAAGTATAAAAAAGCCCCTGGGCCTCAAGAAATCAGATCTGATCTTAAACCAGGCTGTAACTAAGCAATGCTCAAAAAAGGTGGGAAGCACACCTTGCAAAGAGTTGTTCTCTGATAGTGGTAATGACAACGATGACAACTGTAACCACAACCGCTACATTTATTAAGCATTACTGAGTTCATGATCTAAGCACCTGATATGCAATTTTCTCATTTAATACTCATGAGCAAATTTATGAGATGTGTATTATATCCATTTTCTAGACGCTGAAACTGAGAACCAGAAAGATGAAAAAGAAAGTCTGCTCCTGTAACAAGAAGTACAGTTTAATGACCAAGAGTACAGGCTTCCACATAAACCATGTCCAGTTCAAATAGCTCTGCCATATACAAGCTGTTACACCTTGACCAGGTTACTTAACATCTGTTTCAGTTTTTTCATAAATAAGGAAAACAATGGCATTTTTTAGGAGTGGGGCATCTGCTCATTAGGTTGCAATAATTAAAATACTTGGTACCAAATGGAAGAAATGAAAAAATTAGAAGGCAGTTCTTACTATAAAGTATTTGTACCAGTGGTGCAGAATAAGCTTGTACTAAATTTTTATATTGCATTTAAATAGAAACAGAACATTGAAATTTTTTTTGCTAAGAACTCGGACATCCCCTGAACACATCTGTGAATACTATAAAGGTCTGCAATCTGTCATCTAAGAAAACTGCACTTCACAGCCTCCTTTAAAAAGCCTACCACTCAAGGGTGAGGACAGATGTATCTTCATGACAAAAATAAAGAAGAAAGTTGGTGAAAATTGTTACAGTCCAATCCATTCTGACTATGGCAGCCCTTGGAATATAATCCAGCAGACCATTACAGAGAGACAACGATTGAATAAACAATTTCTGACAATTTAAAAAACTACATATAGGGAATTCCCTGGCAGTCCAGTGGTTACAACTGACACTTTCACTGCCAAAGGCCTGCATTAGATTCCTGGCTGGGGAGCTAAAATCCCACAAGCTGTGCAGTGCGGCCAAAAAACAAACACCACATGATATTAATAAAAATCTGAGTATGTCCTTGGAAATTATCTACTCCAACCCCTGTTCTCTGAAATAAAAACTGAATTCCAGACAACTGACTCAGATTACAAAATCAATCATTAACAAAGCAGTATCTTTTCTACCTCATAAAAGCCTCCCTTATAGCATTAAAAATTTTGTTTTGAATAGGTTATTTACAATCTTAAGGGGTATATAAATCAATCTTATAACCTACATTAAATTTTTCTGTTGTTTAGTCGCTAAGTTGTGTCTGACTCTTTTGTAACGCCATGGACTATAGCCCGCCCAGCTCCTTCTATTCATGAGATTCTCCAGGCAAGCATACTGGATTGGGTTGTCATTTTCTTCTACAGAAGATTTTTCCAACCCAGGGATTGAACCTGCATCTCCTGCGTTGGCAGGTAGATTCTTTATCATGGAGACACCATGTAAGCCGGCACATTAAATATTAAGCTTTGCTTAAAAACCTGTAGTATCACTTTGATTATATTGTAATATTTACAGTAGTTTTAGAAAAATAAAAGAATCATTTCAAGTTTTAAAAATATTTTACAGTAAAAAAAAATTTCACAGTGAAATAACTCAACTTTCAGACTTTCTTTTTAAAATGTTTTTATGTGAAATATATACCAACAGTATACACAAACTTCATGAACTGTTTAGAAATAATAAAACAACTATATATCTACCAGTTTAAGAAACTGATCACTGATCGGACATTCCTTAATTCATGCTAACTGCATCCTTTTTCTCTCAACTAATGGGGAAGAAATAGGGGAAGGAATAGTTAGGCATTTGGGATCGACATGTACACACTGTTATAGATTTTAAATAGATAACCAATAAGGTCCTACTGTATATGTATAGCACAGGGAACTCTACTCAATGCTATTCGGCAGCCTGGATGGGAGGGGAGTTTGGGGGAGAATGGATACATATATATGCATGGCTGAATACCTTTGCTGTCCAGCTGAAACTATCACAACGTTGTTAATCCAATATAAATATATACTCCAATATAAAATAAAAAGTTTAAAAAATGAAACAACAACTGTAATCTCTAAACTGATTTAATTATCTCTAAACTGATAATTCCTTTGTTTTTGTTTTTTACTGTATGAGACTCCAAATGTTTTTGACTGTTCCAGAAACAAACTCACATTACATGTATTTTTCCAAGATGGTATTTTTCCTTAAAATTATGTTTTTGATATTTAACCAATGAGCCAAAGTTTGTTTTCATTGTCATATAATATTCAATTGTATTTGACTATTCCAGAATTTACTGCAAACAATACTTCTATAAGTATTTCCATGATTTCACCTGGTATAAATGCACAAAAGCTAACTAGGATACCTAGAAAGCAGAATTTTTGAGGTGCTAGATATAAGCATTTATAGATTTACTAGGTAATACCATAGCACTTTCCAAGGGGGTTGTACAAATTCATATTCCCACCAAGAATTCATCAGAGTTTCCCCTGCTTTACATCCTAAGCACATGGCACCAACAGAATTCTGGTGGGTCTGATAGATATACCTTACCAGGGCTAATGTGCGTTTCTCTAATAATTAATGAAGTTGAGCATCTTTTCATGTCTGTAGGAATGCACTGGTTGTCTGGGTTGCCTCTTGACTGTGAGACTTTTAAGCATATCTTTTGCTCATGTGTCTTATGAGTTGTCATTATTTTGCTTATTAGTTTGTATATCAATCTTGTTATATGTGCTATATATACATGTTCCCAATTTGTGACTAGTCTTTTCTCTACAAGGTGTCTTTTAGATGAACAGAAGTTCCTTAATTTTATTATAGCTGAAATTATCAACTTTTCCTTTTAGGTCTATACTTTAAGACATTTTCATAACCTGAAGTCACAAAAATATTCTCTTCCACTACTGATCTCTTCTAAAAACTTCCTGGTCAATCATATTTAGATATTTAATCCACCTGGAACTAATTTTTGTTAAAGTATGAGGAAAGGACTCAATCTCATCTTTTCGTATACCAATAACCAGTTGTCTCAGTACCATTTATCTATCTATTCCTCACTCACCTACAATGTCAGCTCTGTCATAAATCAAGTTTTTACTAAGCTTTGTATCTTGGCTCTTTATTCTGTCACATCACACTAGTCTATCCTACATCAATACCACAATGTCTTAATTTACCATAATTTTGTATCATCTTGATATCCAGTAGATAAGTTTTTCCACTTTATCCTATTGTTTTAGAAGGAGCTTAGCTATTTTTTGCCCTCTGTTTTTTCATCTAAATTTTAGAACCAGCTTGTAATTTTTAGACGGTAGTAGGATTCTGACTGGAATGACACTTATCATGACATGTACCAAACATTAACATTTTAAAATAAAAACTGTAATCTCTGCATACATACCTTTTATTTGCAGCTATGTAATGTAAACCTTTGTTGCTATAATATCCATAGTTGCATTTACTATTCACTGTTAAGTGAACACAGAAATGCAACTGATTTTTGTTATACAACTTTTTAAGGGGGTTCTCAGTTCTTATTTCTAATCTGCTAATTATAATTATTTCTAAGTTTATTATTAATTCTAATCAATACATATAACTCACAGAAAAGGTTTCGGAGTCCTTAGTAAAAATGTAAAAAGGTCCTTGACTTAGTCCGGGATTCTGTAACAAAAGTCCCCCAGGGTGGGTGGCTTAAACATACATTTCTCAGAAATCTGAAGGTTAAGACATGCAAGATCAACGCATTCACAGATTCAATGTCAGTGTTACACTATCTTACATCTCAGTTCAGTTCAGTCACTCAGTCATGTCTGACTGCGACACCATGCACTACAGCACACCAGGCCTCCCTGTACATCACCAACTCCCGGAGTTTACTCAAACTCATGCACACTGAGTCAGTGATGCCAGCCAACCATCTCATCCTTTGTCGTCCCCTTTTCCTCCAGCCTTCAATCTTTCCCACCATCAAGGTCTTTTCAAACGAGTCAGCTCTTCACATCAGGTGGCCAAAGTATTGAAGTTTCAGCTACAGCATCAGTCCTTCCAATGAACATTCAGGACTGATTTCCTTTAGGATGGATTGGCTGGATCTCCTTGGAGACCAAGGGACTCTCAAGACTCTTCTCCAACACCACAGTTCAAAAGCATCAATTCTTTGGCGCCTAGCTTTCTTTATATTCCAACTCTCACACCTATACTTGCCTACTGGAAAAACCATAGCTTTGACTAGACGGACCTTTGTCAGCAAAGTAATATCTCTGCTTTTTAATACGCTGACTAGGTTGGTCACAGCTTTTCTTTCAAGGAGGAGGTGTCTTTCAACTGCATGGCTGCAGTCACCATCTGCAGTGATTTTGGAGCCTCCCAAAATAAAATCTCTCACTGTTTCCATTGTTTCCCCATCT